GATTCACGGGTGCACCACGTTGTTTTTGCAATTTTTTGGTCATTTTTTCGCAATTTTGGCTCTTGCCGATATGGTGAATGCGCTACTAGTGTTTCAATTTCTATGAAATGTTGGTTAAGTTTAGCACGAATTTGAAAAATTCAGGGTTTTTTAGCCAGCCGAAATAATGCCAAGGTCGGTTTTTCAAGCCAAAGGATTTTTGCTTCATCAGGGATTTTTTCGGATTCTTCAATTGCGCGCGGATGCGACGGGCCATTGAAAAATTCATTGCGTCCCAACCAGAAAAACTGGAAATTTGAAGTTTCTTGCGTTAAAAGCAGAAGAGTCGAGCCTACAACGTGTGAAAGTTTCGATTCGCTGCCATCATCAGGGAATTTTGGAGGAATTTTTAAAGTTTGCACATTTTCACTTCCAATACGCGTGGATGCGATGGACCATTGAGAAATTAATTGCATCCCAACCAGAAATGGTGAAAATTTCGGGTTTGTTGCGTTCAAAGCAGAAGAGTCGGGCCTACAACGTGTGAAAGTTTCGATTCACTGGCATCATCACGGATTTTTTTTTGGTCAAAATAATAGCAAGCGGCTTGTCAAGCAAACGAAAGGCAGAAAACCGGAGAAAATTTCGCAATTTTTTGGAAAACTGCCGTTAAAAACCGTCGTTTTTGGAACGCCGGGCCCGAAATTGCTTGGGAGACCAAAGCAAGTCGTCAAATCGGTTTGGAACTGGGCGAAATTGACGTATTTTGTGGCCTCTGGCCGAATTGGTGGATGCGCCGCTGTACCCTTTAATGGAAAGCTACAAGCCCTGTAGCGTTTGGGCCACCAAACTCGATCGCCAATCTTGCTCCAATTGCAACATCAGGGGCGCACAAGGGTCCGGGTTCTCATTTTTCTGGTAATTTTTCGAAATTTTTTCGGCTCTTGGCAGTGTGGTGAATGCGCCCCGGACTCCCAAAACCGTCTAAAAATCGCAGAAATTGGGCGGAAACGTGAAAACATGCAAAGCAGAGACAGAAACCGGCAAAAATTGGCATTTTTTTTGGGCAAATTGAAGCTTCTCGAACTGGTGAATGCGCCGATGCAGTTTTTGCGAAAGTCGCGGCCCAAGCGGGCTTTGGGAGCATCAGAACCAGTGAATTGAATCGATGAGTGGAGCACCGCGTCTTGTTTTCTCGCCGTTTTGGTTCGAAATCCTTCGGTCTAGTCGCGATGGCGAATGCGCCGGTTTCATGCCAAAGCGCACCTCAAACCGCTGGCGGTCGAAGGAGCTTTTGGTCAATGAAAACGGGCTCGCGCGGCTCAAAATTGGGCAAAATTGCCCCAACCGAACGCAGTTCAACTGAAAAAACTTGAGAATTGACCGGGTTCTGAGCAGCATGGCGGATGCGCCTCCATGAAACATGCCCAGGTCTGGCCGTTGAAGTTCGGTAAGTTAAAAGGTAAGTCGCCAACTGCTTACCTTGGACGGTTTCAGCCAGTGCGTCCTCCAGCAGGCTGAACTGGTCGATGAGCGCCTGTCCATCGCGCAGCGGATGCAGATTTCCGAAGTTCCCGCAGGCGAACTGGTAGAAATCCGTGCAGGGATCGGCCGTCAGGTTCATAAAGTGGATTTCGGGAAAATCTGCCAAAAACTGCTCAGCAGCAGGAAAACACCGAGTTTGGGGTCGTTACCTTGTTCGGTCAGCTGCAGAGTGGCGGCGCCACACGCGCCCACCCACCACACCATCCAAACCGCCCCAATTATCATCATTTTGGATCGGAGCACTGGTTTCGAGCGGAAAAATCCCCACATTGCATTCGAAACTGGCGCAAAAGCTGGAATTTTGCAAGATTTCGTTAAGATCCGAAGGATCGCGGGGTTTTGATAACTCTAATCGGCCACTTGATTGATTAGCCCGATTGGGGGGAGGCTGGCGCGAAGCGCGCCAGCCGTCCCATCAAAACCGGCCGATTTCCCGAGGAATTCGGGCCCATTTTGCGCCGCCGTCCCCGCAAAACCAACCGACCACTTGATTGCCAAATCCTGGCTAATCGCCTACGTCGATCGGTGATTGATTGGGCTGCKTGTTGTTCCACTTGACRAGCTTTTCGTATGTTTACATGCGATCTTCCCTTCAATCAAARCSCCATMAGTAYTTTCCRACTGCYCCCGGTACCTTCTGTCAACACCGACGGSWAGTYSCGCGCCAACCGTCAAATTACTRGTTGTCAAGTGACAGTTGACACTTSTCAGACTGATCYGGTCATYGGAGTTGATGACATTTATAACAGAAAACATTGTTTACACACTTTTCGATCTGTTTCGATTTGTWTGCGCTAGCAAAAGTYGATTAGAGCAAAACAGAACAAATCRCAATCAGATGTGACAGCAATGTCAACAGRACAAGTGTCAAATTACTACCTAACTTGYAGGTATCAGTTTAACCAYCAGGGGGCGTCWGGCCTTAAGTCACTGTCATCGCCCACTGACAGTGACACCCCGCTCACTACCGGGGGTGTTGAAAAAGAGYCRTCGTTCAGCGTCTAGACGGGGCTTTTGATGCGATAAAGTCACCAAACCGGAGCTTGTGGCTCAGTTGACGAGCTGATTTGCCATAAAAAGCCCCTAAATTGCCCCAAAAAGTGCCCTAAACCGGCTCGCAAATTGCGACCTGCTGCTGCRRCGCATTCGCCAAATTGGCCAGTGGCGGGGAATCTTCAGGTTAATGGYCATTTTWTTGGTGMTTTTGACAGAAGCSGCCCTTCAGGARGTTGAMRCATCGACTYKCSAGCCYGCAACTGTCAACCAACTAGYSCGACKTTGACAGRAAMCCGSGCAAATTTSAAGTTCCCCYCTTTGGGCGCATTYGCCAAATYGTCCWGGYWYAKKARMKGTTKTKGCGWTTTTTYCGTARRAAGCGCYTTGCGCCAGAARGTGKCAAATTGCCAACTCAATGGCGTMAATTTTGGAAAAAAACTTGCMAATTTGCCCCCACTCCGTTGCTGGGTAGGTGGAGTTTGAGGGTTTTGTGTACTGTTTGGGCAATTTTCGCACAAACTGCACTCAGGCGCTSTTGATTTGGGCTTCGRCCACTCAAKTGGCCAAAGCGCGGGCGCCATCCAACGGCCAAGACCGCTAAGTTGTGGTTTTCCGTCGGGCGCATCCGCCAACTTGTCCACACGCTGCGCCACTAAGGGACCTGTGCTCGCCCAGTGGCAACAAAACCCTGCCAATTACCGGGGCTGTTTGAAAAGTTTGAACTGAGTGAAACTCGTCCATTTCCTGTATATCACTATATTTATACATGTATGTGTGCGTTAATATTTTGAAGAAAAAACGCCCGAAATGTGGATGAAAGTGCGCCAAAGGGCCGGTTAGAATGCGAATAAGTTAATTGGAGCTCGATAAGTGGTTAATAGCCTGCGTAGTCGTCGTCGTCCTCCTCGTAGCTGTCGTCATTGCCCGGCTCCCCGAGGGCGTTCACGAATTCTGCAAAAAAACACGCGCCTGAGCCATCGGCTTGGCCCGCAGCGCCCTCTACCTACCGTAGAAGTCAATGCGGCCGTCCCCATCGACGTCCACCTCTTTGATCATGTCCTCAACTGCGGAAAAACGCCCCGATTAATCAACCCGCGCTGAAACGACTGCGTTCCCGACTCACTCTCCTCCTCCGAAAGGTCCTCGCCGAGGCACTGAAGCACCGCCCGCAAGTCGGACGCCGTGATGTAGCCTCGATTGTGCTTGTCGAAGACGCGGAACGCGTCGCGCAGCTCTTTTTCCTCTTCTTCGCGCGACAGAACCTGATCGGGGTCGGTGCCAGCGCCCGCCGTCCACGCCATGTCCAAAAACTCCTCGAAACTCACGTTGCCATCGCCTGAAACACGCAGCCATGTTGGGTTGCCATGGCAATCGCCTTGTTGTGACAGTTGCCAAGCGTCTCGATCAGTTTGATCTGTCAGGTTTGACAGCGGGGCAACTGCTGTCAAACTTGACACTGACAGGATGTGGAGAAGTGAATTCGCCATATGTCATAAACGGCCTCTGGATGCGTCCATTGTGAAGGGATTTTGACACTTTTGACACCGGC